TTAATATTAAATGGCTTTACCACCCGTTCGGAACCCTATCTACGACCAAGAAGATACGGGCAAGAAACTTGGATTTTGCTCTTTGTTATAATAATGTTTCTGTTACAATGTTTACATGCTTATGATTGAAATTAATGTTATACATAACTTCTTAATATTAGAACTATCAGGAACCCAGCTGTAAGATTCGTTGGATGCTGTCGGAGGTCACCTTCGTCGCGTGCGCGTGTCGACTTATACCTGGATACCGACTCGTAGTTCCCTCGTAGTATGAAAATTGGATAAAGAAAGAAGATAAATATCTTAGTCTCATTATTGAAGACTAACCCAGTTGGAACTATAGTTGTAAATATACTCTATCAGAATGGATGCATACGACAGTGATACAGTTAAGTTAGACCTTTAAAATAGGTTCGCGCAGGGGACCCACATCTGCTACTTCCTGACCACATTAAGAGCCCTTAAAACCCGACATAAGACAATCCATTCTCGGCACTCCTGGACCTAGATCTAACACGAGTTGCGAGAACAAGGTAGGGTTCTAGTCAGCCGGGCCTAGGAGAGCTTACACCCAAGAATCGACGACACTGAACGAATCAAGTCATAACAGATGTAAATCGAGAGTCAAAAGTGAACATAACCATGGAGAACATCCGAAAATATTATATTTAACCTAGTTAACAGGCTTTCTGCCATCCACAGTTAAGTACGGCTGTGACCATGTACCCTAAGGCCCGATCGGCGCTGACATACCGCCCTATGCTGGTCAGAGAACTTGCTATTCCCACATCAAATTCGAGCAACTACTTTACGTCCATACCAATCTTGTTATTGTTGTAATGTTTATTTATGATTATATAGAAGAAATAAAATATATAATATTTGAATATTCACCTGATATTATATTCACACCACAAAATATTTAATTATCTAAGCTCGAATCATTATGAGGTTAACAAAAATACGCGATCTAGTATTTGAATAATTCTATAGTTTAACTACAATTCGTTTTGTAATATGTATCACATTCGTATGATTGTATTATTCTTAAAAACCCAATTAGTTAAGAATTCAAATTGATAGTCCCAGAAAGGATATATTCACAACTCGTTCCATAAAGAGATAGTCAATGTTATCCCTTAATAATTAATATTATTACTCCGGTGATTATCTTCAATATGCTCAGTCAAAGTGTCCATATTAAGGACGTGGTTCTTTTAAATATTCCATTATTATATATTTTCCACCTTGTGAAAAATATACTATTTACTTATTCATTATTTGCAATCTCCACCTTGTGGAAATGTACAAACATTCATCACAATAATTAAAGCAAGCACTGTCTTTCTGCTCAACATTATTCTTATGATTGCAAATTTTACCTTGTAAAACTGTACAAACATACAATACATACTTTTGGAGATTGCTGTGTTTCGGTTTGAAAATATATAATAGTTTATTTGCAACTTCCACCTTGTGGATGTGTACAAACATGCATTCGAGATAAGAAAGGAAAGCTCCCATTTTCCTTCAAAACTATTAAAGTAATCATATAAAACTCTTAGGGGGGTTAGAGAAGATTTCCCTTAATATAAATGAATGATTATATTATAAATATTTATCAGTTATTAAGCCGTACTTAATAATTGAATATTAATCATATGGACAGGAGCACATTTAGTAAATCAATAACAAAATCTATTAAATTATATTTAATAGTGTAGTTTTATATCAGAATAAATAAAATATCATCATCATTTCAGTCGCTCCTCCTTAAATATCAGTTCAGTAGTTTGTTGATTACACTGAGGATATTATAATAATTAACGTTTTGTCCATCACTTAAAATCTACTCACAGTTACAGCAACCGTTACCGAAGCTCGTTTGCCATTGTCACCTATATACATGAATGGAACCCAATCTTATGTATCATAGATATTACCATATTTATAATACAATTATTAACATCACCACGCTCCCCTCCAAAGTGTACCCAAATTATCTACCTTATGACTAAAATAAAATTACAATAAACTTAAATAATAATTAAAGTTTTATACGACCTGTCATGTGGTAGCTATTCTATCTCACCAATAACATTTTGACGTCGACGTCTCTCGTTCAGCCACCGTTGCACCGTCCCGGATTCATTATTCGTTGCCGTCTCTCAAGGAACGCGGAAATTAACCCTTAATACAGATCGACTACCCCGCTTGTTCCGCTACTCGTTCCGACACCCGCTGCCTATTTCAGATCGACTACCCCGCTATCCGTTCCAAAACCAACTGTCCCCATTTCTCTGTGTCTCAAATCCTACCATCACACGCATTGCCTCCCCGCGCCCCTTGTCCTTCTTACTTTTACTATTTTTTGCTAACAACCCTTAAAGCAAATCTTAAACAAGGCACTGTCCCATGTCGTGCCCTGTCTAATAAACTTATTAATTTATTGTTTTAACTCGACATCTTCTCAGCTTGAGTTCTACCTAAGTGACACCACGTCTAATAAAGTATACTAATTTATGTTACCTAAATAAACAATACTTAGAAAATAAGGACCCTACAATATCCGTAAGTGGCATGTGAACGAAATACAAAATATTAGAAACACGATTGAGAGTTGTAGCCGTTTTTATGAAGTAATTATTTAAGTATCCGTTCCACGAACAAATCTTAATTCTACTAATACGCACTTACTATATACCTATAATATCACGTCATTTCTATCTATTAGATATTAGATTTACTTATCCAATTTTTATGGAACAATCAACATACCTAGTATGTGATCGTTACACCTCTTGTACGAAAATTGAGCGGATTGTAACGCACACGAATAGTTTATGTAGAGAAGGAGTGCAGAATACTAATCTTTTTTTATATTTTTTTTTATAAATTATGCATAAACTATACATTAAATCAATAAAAAAATCATTACACACAATACCATGTATTTCACACAAACGCATATATACTTTTTTGTTTATATTCATTTATGATTTCTTTTATTTCGATTTTATTATGTATTTTTATTTCATCTGTTTATTATGTATATAAATTCGTTTATCTTTATATCTGTCTATTTAAATCGTAAATCATGTCTATTTTGAGTGTTTCTGAGTAATAATCTCCCGCATAGTGTGTCGACCTCATTCGAGTCTTTACCACAGAAAATTATTGATAGTAACTATATGCATATGGTATTTTACATGAATGACTTTCAGAGGAAGTATAAAAGTGGCGCCGATGTCGGAGAGGTTAAAGAGTAATCGTCTATCGTGGTATGGGCTTGAAATACGTAGGAATGGAGATCACATCCTAAAGAAGGTGTTACATATGAATGTGGATGGTAATAAGGTAGAGGAATACCAAAAAAGAGATGGATGGACTGTGTGAAAGGTAATATGGTGAGAAAGGTAGTAAATAACGAGATAACTGCAAACAGAGATGAATGGAAGAGAAAAACATATTACGCCGATCCCAAATAAATGGGATAAGGAAGAAGCAGGTGATGATGACGGATTTATAATTACACATATGTATGTGTAATTATAAATCCGTCATCATCACCTGCTTATTAGTCGTTACGATATGTATGTACATATCGTAACGACTGTTATCCCAGATATGGGCAGTGAGAGACATTTTTATATGATGATAATAGAAACACAATTTGAAAGGCATTTTCTCCCACTCAACCATAAGGGTTAACAGGGATTCATGTGGGCGATGCATTGTCTTATGGATGGTAATGGCATGGTGTGTAGGATGATAGGATAAAGATGAGTTCAGATCAGTTAGCCCATCGCGACAAATTTACCAGGAGCTTATCACCATAGTTTCCAGTAGGAACCGCATGTTGGTCAACCTGACATATGGTACTTTGTTAGCAATGGGTTCTGTAGTCCGCATTAATAAGAATCCCCTTTCCACTCTAAAATGTTGGTATTGTTATAACAGTTTAAACTTAAATGGAAACAACAAATTAGGATTTTCAGTAAAGGTACTTAGACCTTAAGGTACTTTGTAACTTGCGTTTGTTATGGACAAGTAAAAATGAGTAATCGACGGTAAAAAGAATCATCAATATAATATAGAGTGGAATTGAGGACTTTTTGCTTTTTGAAGTCGATCTTATATTATTGTCGGTCTACTGTATATATACATACTTACATGTAATTACAACTGCAATGACTGTTTGTACCAAAATAAAAAAAATAATTATAAACGCAAATGTTTGTGAGTAAGGATGGATGGATGGATGTTTGTTACTCTTTCACGCAATAACTACTGAACGGATTTTGTTGGAACTTTCAGTAATATAGAATAACATACTTTCAGAATAACATACAGGTTATAAATTTCAACACATAGTTAAAAATGTATACTAAATGTAAAAAGATTAGCCTTTTGTCTCATCATAAAACCAAACCGTTGAAGCCTCTGTGGCATAGGAAGCGGGTCACAGTGATTGTCTTGAACAATGTGTGCATCTGACCCCATGTGTCTCGCTGTCATTTCTTTGTTTACATTTTCTTTGTAGTATTGTGACAATGTCCTGTTATGATCTATGCTTGACACCACAACTATCTGTACCCATTCATCAGATACCTTCAAAATAGAAGAAACTATTGTCGCATTGTGCATACAGTTTTAGAAAACATATTTTGAAATTGATAACGTCGTAGCGTAAACATAAATTAAAATCTATGATGTCGTGGAATTTTGTCAACTTTAGGAAAGATTTTTTGAATTATTTTTTAAGTTCATTACTTATTCTTAGTAATATTTATCTGGGAATATGTAATGAACTTATTCCTTTGAATTAAATTACTTCCATTTATGAAAGATATCACGTAATACGCATAAGGAAAAACGTCATGATATCGAGAACACTCTTCTTTTTAGCTGCTGGTTCACAGTTACAGTAGTAGTTAGTTCTACTTTTGTACTCTTATATACCAGACAGTGAATTTAAATGCTTATATTTTTGATTACAGGAAGAATAATAAACGGACCCTCGAGTTATGGTGGAGCGGGCTTCCGCCATCGATACGCGGGAAAGTGTGGCAACTGGCCATCGAGAATAAACTGAAGATCACCCACCATATGTACCAAGAGTACGTCACGAAAGCAAAGCAGAAACTCCACGAGGCGCAGTTACGCAGAAAGAGGTTAAAAGTCCACCAACAAACGTGTCAATGTGACGAAACTGTCCCGACATGTGACGTCATTAAAGACGAGAAAAAGGCCAAAACAGACGATAGAACAGAAGATAAACCTCGATTGAGTATACCGAGGAATTTAAGCGAGCAAAACCTAAAATCGCACAGTACTGATCCGGGACCAAAGAAGTGTTGTTCGAAATCAAACCCTAACCTACTAGACTATAGTGACGAGTGTTCAATGGAGCTGATACAGTTGGACATAGCTAGGACGTTTCCACACTTGTGCATTTTCCAACCGGGCGGGCCGTATTTCGACGTGTTACATGAATTATTAGCGGCGTACGTGTGTTACAGGCCTGATATAGGATACATACAGGTGAGTTCATTTCGGTCCCCTTTAATATTCATTGGCTAATCTGTTTTGTGTTCATTATTCTATCTCATCTCGTATACAACAGCAGTTAACGGGTAATTTGTTATTAGACTTGTTAGGACGTGGGCCGTGTTAGTGGTTTCGTTAGATCGTGATTTTCTTTGTGAAAATGAAGATTATTACTTTTTATTACTAAATAAATACATTGCATTTTTTTATTATTAATATAATATAGACAAAAATAAAATTTATAATGATATACGAAGATACTATATTAAAACTTTTTTATTTATGACATGCTGATATATCTATCTATCTACCTATGTACGTCATTTTTCCTGTTTTAGAACCCCTTTCATTGCAGCTCCTCTTCTATTGGCCTTCCTCGATAAATCGGCTCATTCGTTCATTTATAATTTAAGAGCCACGCTCTTGTCGGTGGAGCTCTTGCCACTTTCCATAATTTTGTCTTTTTTGCATGATGTGTCTGTACCTTGGTCTTCCACTTCACCTCTTTCCTTCTATATTTCCCTCAATAATATGAAAAATATCATTGAGGGTAAAATAGCCTATTTAGGCTTTCCAACACTAAACATATTTTCGTAATCAGTTTAATAGATCCAGAGACTACTTCCTACAACCTCACTAACTTTATCTCTTTATAATATTAGTATAGATCAAGGTTTTTCAATCTTTTTAGTGCCTTGCCCCACCTTAGTTTTTCTAAAATTCTTATGCCTCGCCCCACCATGTAACATTCATAATTTATAGGAATAAAAAATTGAATTTTCACTGAAGATACTTAAACAATAGGTTCTAGCATCACTACTTTTAATGAAACAGTAAATTTTCAAAATAGATAATGTAAAATTTAAATTCACAGTGTACATCATTTTAACAAAGAGTCCATTTTCGAATTGCCTCCCGTGGGACGTGGGCATAGATTAAAGGCTCAGTGTTCTATATATATATATGTATACCTCGGTATACATATTATTGTTAGAGGAAATATGAAAGTGGCACCGGTGTCAGAGAGATTGAAGAGTAATCGTCTATCATGGTATGGACATGTAATGCGTAGGAACGAGGATAATATTTTAAGAAAGGTGTTACATATGAATGTGGATGGTTATAAGGAGGAAGATCGAAAAAGAGATGGATGGACTGTGTGAAAGATGATATGGTAAGAAAGGAATTAAATAACGCGATGACTGCGAACAGGGATGAATGGAAGAGAAAAACATATTACGCCGACCACAAATAGATGGGATAAGGAAGAAGCAGATGATGGTATACATATTATTGTTGTCATCCTGCAGGGTATGTCATTCATCGCTGCGGTGCTGATTCTGAACATGGAGGCTCCGCAAGCGTTCGTCTGCTTCGCGAATCTACTGGACGGGCCCGTGCTGCGGGCGGCGTTCACACGCGACGGGAACACCATGCAGGTATATAATATTATCTATTATATATTATATTTATTCTCATACTAGCTAACACCCGCGACTTCGTCCGCGTGGAAAATTGGAGTGAAGATTGGATAGCATTTTTTATTATTTATAGTAGGTTTACAAATACGTATAATAATTAATGATCTAATCCAAAAAAGCTAAAGAAAAAAGTTCGTTTTTTTACAATTTTTTCTCTCAGAATGCCGGAGCAAAAGTTTGTTGTTATATAACCTTCAATTTTTTACAAAGTTTTAAAGTCATACTTTTATGGTATATATAATCAACAGCCTAAGAGTAAGTTTCAAGCTTTAAAAATGACGAATCTTTCCTTACAACCCTTTTATCGCATTAAAAAAGTAGGTTATGTCCTTTCTCAGGGTCTATACTGTTGTTCATTTCTGCTGTCTTCTAAACAGTAATAAAATGTGTCCCCCTGTGTGCAGCGGTTGTGGCAGGCGTACGGGCTGGTGGCCCGCAGGTCGGTGCCCGCGCTGGAGGGGCTGCTGGCGCGGCTGGCCCCGGAGCTGTACCTGCTGGAGTGGCTGTACACCGCGTTCGCGAAGGCGATGCCCCTCGACGCCGCGTGTCGAATCTGGGACCTTTTTCTGCGCGACGGTGGCACTTTCCTGTTCGCAGCCGCTGTTGGTTAGTTTAATTTTTATTTTTGGACTGTAGTGCTGTTGGCCGCAGCTGGCTTTAGAGCTTCACTGGACGATAGGGCGAGAGAAGTTGACACTCCAAATCAAAGGAAGGACTTATGAGCGGCTGAAGACCAACTCCTGCCTGTCGGATATAAATGTACCGATGTAGATATTCAAGTTCAAGGTTCGAACCCTTAAAACTGTATACACTTACATGAACTACATATATATATATATATAATAATAATCTAAGGACAATTCACCATCGCCAGCGCCATTTAGTCCCACGACAAGCAAAGCTTGTATTATGGGCACTACATAACTGATACAAATACATATATATATATTTTAAATACATTCATAATGTACATAGAAAACACACAGACCCATACAAACAATCATACTCATAAATACAAATGTTTGTGCCGTACGAGGAATCGAACCTGCGACCATTGGAATTAAGGCGGTGTGCTAAACCGCTAGACCACTGAGGACTACATATATTATAAACTACTTACATAAATATTAAAGTAAGATAAAAGGAACATGATATAAATTAAAATTAAACTATAAGAAAAGAATTCAAAACAATACAAATAATGATACTCCTGATTGATGATTGTTATGTCCGGTAATCGAAACTGCAACCATATTGGAACAAAATATTTAACCGCCACCGTATATATTTTTTCAGGTATACTCCACCTTTATCAAGACGAACTGAAAGATATGGACTTCATCACCGCCGCTCAATTCCTCACCAAACTACCTGAAGATCTGGACACGGAGGCGCTGTTCAGGAGTATCTCCACGGTGTCACTCTCCGTGGACGGTATGACCTTCGAAGAGCTGGTCTCCTGCTGTGAGCTGGACACGCTGGATGAAGACGTGACCGTGAGGTTATGATACCCAGCGAGGAGGTGGAGCGACTTCGGCTTTTGGGAAGTTGTCGACGCGCTGTCGTTCAGGGTACGATTATAGTCATCATCATCATCATTGTCTAGCCTTTATCCCATTATTTGGGGTCGGCGCAGTGTGTCCTCTTCTTCCACTGATGCCAATCAGCCTTCATATCTTACACTCCTTTTATACATATCATCTTTCACACAATCCATCCATCCATTTTTTTTTACCTTCATCTCCCTATACATCCATCCACGTTCATATTAAACACTATACGATTGTAGTAACGTGTTTGTAGTAACTATAACCTACAAATCCATAGACAGAAACGGACAAAACACTCCCAAATGTTTAAATTATTGGAGTGTTTTGTTTTTTGTCCCTTTCTTATATAGTTTGGAAGAATAGGACAAAACAGATTGTAATAATAGATTTATCAGTCACTTTTATGAATAAGGGGGTTTCTCTTTAGTGAGGAAGTTTACAGGTATAAAAATCTTGCCACGTGGCAAGTCAACCAGTCGATATTGGCATGTTATATCGATTTACTCGTATCGGCAGCGAGGTGTCCATATATCTGTCATTCAAATTCTTATACATAATGAGTAAATTCGATCAGGAGTTATAAATTAATTTTAAATAAATTATTATTTAAAATTAATAACATACGTTCTTGTTCTATCCTTACTATAATTATTAACTAGTTCTCGGGATAACTTCCTGATAAATAGCCTATATATGCTTCTCAATTTCAAATACTACCTGTATGCCAAAATTCATATTAATTAGTTCAGCCGTTGCATCGAGAAGATGTGTTGTTATTATCCTTTACAAATGAAAAAGACTCGAATTTGTATTAAAATGTAATAATTACTTCATTTTCGTGTTGTATGTTGTGATAAATATACATAATATGGTTGTTATAAAGAAATTCATATATAGATCTTTTGGATGATATATTTAGTATTATTATTATTCTGTTAGCTTTAGCTGCCAATATACATAGACTCTACATTTGTTGAACATGTTTTGCGATATTGCAAGCTTATTAACGTTTGAATAGGAATCTCAGTTTGCGAATTATACATTTTGATGAACGTATACATTGATTGATAGCTATGGGGCCCCCAGGTCCCATTACGAACAATCTATTCATTTCCGTTATTATTGATGTTCCAATTGGTGTAAGAGAAATGTACCGTGGATGGGTACCGTGAACTGTTTTGCTGACTAACTTTAAAGCGACCGAATTGCAATCAAATCGAATGAATAAAAGATATAATTATGTCCGAATTTATTTAATTTTTTTATGGTTTTATTACAAATTTTATCTTGTAGATTAATGGTTTTCGACTAGTGATAGACATACTGAATTACTGTTGTTGTGAAAATATGTATGTAATATACATATAAAACATTCAGACAAATACAAGCAAGCATACCCATCTAAAAAAATGCACTATTTATCTAGATCTTGCAACTATCGCGAGATGAGGCAGTGCCCTACACTACTAGACTGATCGTCTAGTGGTGTAGGGCACTACATAGGTCCTACAAATTTTAGAATTTACAGAAATTTACATATACATATGTAGATTATTTGAATTCTTTTTTTTACTAGCTGTTTTTACACGCTTTTATTATTATGCTGAATTTGTTTAAATGCTTTCTTTTAGAAGATGCTGACGTTATAAAATAAATTTGGAATTTATTTTATAACGTCAGCATTTGTCAGCACTTTATTAATTCAATAGTTTTGACTGTATGTTGATATTTGGTAAACATAACCGATTTTATAAGCACATAATAATATTTCTGTTACATTTGTTCAGTTATTTGAGTCGATCATGGAGTATGATCTAATAAATCTTGTCTATTAAATATCTGTTCGATATTTGATTTCATTTCGAAAACGCAAATAAGCAGTGCGACTGCTTTTATTAATTTTCCATTGCAATAATCTACTCGAATGATTTACGTTATAATACGCCGGAGTTCATATCGAGATCTGTTAGTAATATTGAATTATACTTTTAATAATTATGATGATATTATACAAAATATTTCTGATTTTATAATAGTATTTATGTTATACATTTATTATGAATATTTCGCGATATTACACATTCTCATGTTGAGTATTCTCATTCTCATGTATTGTGTAGAATGAGGACTGTTATTTGTAATAATAAATTAAAAAATTACTGCGAGAAATTACTAACTGTAATTTACATACACAGACAGAAATTGTATACATTTTTTTTAGTATGCGTGTACAATTTTTAATAATTATTATAATTTATGCGTGTAGCATATTACATTTTTTTTATTAAATAATTATTCATTATTAATACAACTATATGTATCTTTGCTTCATTATTTCCGATAATTTATAATTTATATGTAGATATAAATAATGAAATAATGTAAATATATATGCATTACATATATGTCTGTCTGTATGTGTGTTAACTCTAAGACATATCCATTAGGTTTTAATATAACATACGCAGCGTACCTGTCTTGAAAATGTAAAAATCTATTACTACTAAATCCTAGATACACACTCTAAATTTAGTATGAGTTATTTTAAATCACATATACGAATAAATACGTGTATACATATATACAGTATACAGTCTTGTATAAATAATTAATGTAAAATATAAAACTTGTATATATAAATTTGGGCAGATATACATATTTATCTATATTCGATACTTCAAGGTATTGAAATATAATGCAACATTCAACATACATTAATTAACTGATATCTAATATGTTACAGGAAATGATAACAAAATTTCAATATCAATACAAAACAATTATTACTCAATTATTGAATGATTTTAATTATTGAATTGAATTTATGTTCAATTATTGAATTATTTATTCAATTTATCCTATAATTGTATCGTTTACTCACTAACTGCTAGCTCCCTATACACTTTGTTTCTCTCTTTCACGCGCGAATAGGCTTTCACACAGGAAAGAAAGAGCATGCAAATGTAGATAACGAGAATGAGAAAGAACGCGCGCGCCGCATATTTGCGCACTCCCGCGTTCTGCAATAGTCGTGCTTAGAGCGCCTTTTTGTAAAAAATATCATTGCAAAATGGCGGACACCTCACTATGGAGCAAAGACATAATTATAGAGTTATTGATAATTTATAAATCTTAAACAAGTATTTGACATGAAACATACGCGCTATCACACGCAAAATAGTGACCATAAAACATAATAAAATGCAGTCACTCGCGATTGCGCACGCTGACTTTCCCGCGCATACTCCTGATCGCGCGTGAAACAACGTGTCATCAAGTCAAGAAATCATTTAAACGAAAAATATTATAAATAATTAATGTCTTGTATCTACAAATTACGTATTGAAACTTTACTGGAAAGAATGAGATAGAACATTAAACAAATAAAGTTTATTAAATGTTGACTGTATTATGATTAAGGTGATTTAAATTATTGTATATATATATCTAAATTAGGATTTTTTTAATATAAATGTGAATGTATATAAATAATAATTGTCAATTATTATTATTTATTAGTATAAAATTAATAATAATGTAACTGTAATACAACGAGTAGTGAAACCGGCCTAATAGTTAAATAATCGAAGATTTCGATACTATTATTGTTAATTATAGATTATTAAGATCCAAATGTGTGAATTGAAATTATTCAATAGTGTAACAATTCAATTTTTACTACAATTGGCATCGATCATCTGTTTTATTGTATATACACATAATTTTCAGAACACATTGATGTACAAACTGACAGACTAGATATATTCTATAGTATAGTCTCGCTAAAGTTTCGGCCACGAGCTATATTATTCGCACTTAATTTTTTGGTGTCCATTTTTCATGTATATTTAGTTATTGTGTAATTTATGAACTTTAATATTTATTATATTATACAATAGTATTTTATAACATCTTATAGTAGTCGACATTTTTCCTTTTTAAGAATTATTTTAACAAAACATATATATGTACAAAAGTAATTTCCACATGACACATGTAATTTCAATTAACACATTATCTATGGATCTACAATATATAATAAGTATATAAATATAATATAAATTAGATCACCATCTTAGATAGGTTTATATAAATATATAAATAATTACTATGTATCGAAAGACTACATTTTTTGCAATGCATTAATTTCTCTATCTTGCTCATTTTTGTAGTAAATAAATGAGACAGAACTATGTACTGTAGGTTGCGCTAGATTTAGTAATTGATAGATAGTTGTCGAGTTATAAATCTGTTGGATGCTGATAGCACGTACTGGGCCTATAACTTGATAATATTCCTAGACAATTCACACAGCGCTATCTAGTCTCAAGCTAAGGAGAGCTTGTGTTGTGGGTACTAAAAAACTGATATAAATGCGTAGAGAACACTCATACCAATACAAACAATCATACTCATGAATGTAAATACTTGTACCGTGCGAGCAATCGAACGCTCGACCGTCTGAAGTCAGGCGGTGTGCTAAACCACCAGGCCATCGAGGCCGTCAGATATTCGACAGGTAGTACGGTATGCTTGGCACTACCACTTGTTATTTATTTGCTTCACTATTATCTGTAATCTCATCTGTGTAAGTCGATGTTAAATATATATTTAAGACTAGCTTCTGCCCGCGGCTTCGTTCGCGTTAATTTATCCCCTTAGGGATGGAATTTATCAAAATCCTTTCTTAGGGGATGTCTACGTCATAGTAGCTTTTGCATGCAAAGTCTCAGCCCGATCGGTTTGAAATTGACAAAGTTTAATACAAACTTTCATCCCCTATTTTATGCCCTTCGGGGTACAATTAATGAAAATCCTTTGTTAGCGGATGCCTACGTCATAACATCTACCTGCATGCCAAATTTCAGCCCGATCCGTCCAGTGGTTTGGGCTGTGCGCTGATAGATCACTATGTCAGTCAGTCACCTTGGAGTTACATATGTTTAGATATGCGTGTTATAGAGTGAATACTTGTTTAATTATGTATTATTTTTGATGGTCAATAAAATTAGCGTTATCGTACAGACAGACAAGTGCTCATGTTTATATTATTTAAATTAGTTTATATTATCTATATAAATGAAGTTCTGGGGAGTCGAAATATAAAATTTCGTTAAAATAACAGATCACTTAGAAAACCTTTCGTATCGTAATCGTCCTAGCGTTCAACGCTAGGACGATTACGATACGAAAGGTTTACTCTTTCATTCTTCCTTCGACTCTGATATTCATTCTCTCGTTCTCCAATTGATGGCCTGTCCAATTCAAACGGGGATCGAAATTACGACGCCTGAGCAGAGGTTGGAACCCCTAGTGTACGCAGACTAAACTCGTATTTGTCAGGCGGGAGTTAGCTTCCAGCCGCTCCATAAGTACTTCCGCCAGTTTGAGAGCCATCTGCACTCGCCCCCTATCGTTCAGTGAAGCTGTAAGCCATCTGCGGCCATTACAGTAGCATTAACAGCAACAACATTAGGGTAGTCCGAAAAAAACAGCTCAGGGTGTCGTAATTTCAATCTCCGTTTGAACTGGGGACTTATCGGAAGGGAAGGTATTTTTTTATTATTTCAACTCGTATATATAGTGCAGACATCATATGATGTATGAGCATTTAAGTACTTTGTCATAGTGATATTATATACATTGCCAATAATATTAAAACAGCTCTGTAACAAAGTATTATTGTGATAAAGTACAAAATTGTTTACGCGTTTATACATAGATGACGGTCAGATTTGAGTAGTAATCATTATTAAATGAACAGCTTTAATTAATTCCTTGCCACGTGTTGGATATTGTTGGAAATATTTTTTTTGTTTTTTTTATGGTTGTTGTATTTAAATTTTTAGAAATGGACTTGCACTTTTTAATTTTACACTTATTTCTCTGTTTGATGTTTGATATTGTGGCTAATTTGGAATTAAAAAATTATATATATAGTACTATTCTTATTTTTAATCCATTTATTTTGTCAGTGAATTGTCATACCAGTTATATTTGATTTATTTTGTGGGTTAGTCAACTCGCTGGTTTATATGTAGGTTATTTATCTAAAGTCCATATTTTTATATTGTTTCGAATTATTTTCAGTGTAAATTTCAAAAGTTTTATGCATACTAAAAAAAAAGAGAGATTTTATTATTAATTCAT